TAATTATTATAGCCAAATATATACAATACGACGTAAAAACTAATTATCTGTTGCAATAAAAGCTCTAATTAGAGCATTTTTTATACCTTAAGATTTAAGTTGGTGTATAAATTTACAATGTATAAAATTAATTCACAAAGACTATTAGATTATTATAACTTGTTACATGTAGATTTTTGTGATAGCGAAAAGGGAATTCCAAAGGAAAATCCCAAGCAAGAAAAATAATCAATTAAATGCTCTCAATAGGGCGCGTTGACATGATACTGCAAATTATTGCCTTCATAATTATTATATAAATGTAATAAAATAAAATAGTATTAATTGTGGCTATTATAATTTATTGAGAAATATATATACCTATAAGGTATCGTATACAGATGGCATATAGATTTTGTATGCGATTGTGAAGCCGGTTTCCCAAAGGAAAATCCCATGAAGGAAAAATCTTAATGGTTGCTTTCGTATTATAAGGTGCGTTGACATTATACTGCAAATTCTTGTCTTCATATTTATTATATAAATGTTTTAAAACAAAATAGTATTAATTGTTGCTATTATAATTTGTTTGAAAATATATATACTCTATTTGAAAATGCATAAGACATACAGGTGATATGTTTAAACACATGTATCATTCATACAACAAACTCAACTCATCATCTTAAAACAAATTTGAACAAAAGCTGAATAAATACCACAATTTGCTAAATGATGAAATGTTATATCCTAGACAATAATATGATGAATATGATATATTGTTCAGGTATTGTAATACAAAAAGGACCTTTTTACCCGCGGATCTTTAAGTCTCGCTCTACCCTACAATAATATTAATTTTTAATGAAAAAAATTATGTTTGTATTTATTTTTTAATTTTGCAGTATCTTCAAATATATTTGCAAATAAATTTGCACGCCCTACCCTAGAATAATATTAATTTTTAATAAAAAAAAATATGTTTATATTTATTTTTTATTTCTGCAGTATAAAATCTATCTATATATAGAATTAAATATGTGTCTAGTACAAAATAGAGAAAATGTCGTCAATAAATCCAAAAGAGTGTTAGAGGTGATCACAACCCGCAATAAAAATAAATTGTTTATTTGAAAAAAAAAAAGATTTTTCATTATCTTTGGAAAACCTGATTTGAAATTTAGTAGAAAACGTTCACAAAAAGACTATAATTGACCTGATATCGATCAGGTTAAAAATGATTAATAAAATTGGAAAGCATTGTAGATTGTAGGAAGGTGTAAATTAAGAAAAATTAAAAAAGTTTTTCGGGTTGGCCAACCCTTATCACTTCAATAAGGATATGCAAAAACCTGTCCGGGAATGTACCTAACAGTTTCCCAAACTTTCATGGCGATTAAATGCATGGTTTATGAATAATAATTACACACACACAATGCAAGAATGATAACATCCTAGATCCTCCCACCACGAGGTAATGCCAAACTCTGGTTTTTGTGTGGACTACAGGTAAGGGCAAGGCGAAAGTTTTAGTCAGTATTATACCCAGGCGGTATTAAGTCCGACATACCCAGACAAAAGACCAGTCTGGGATGCATAAAGGCATTTCCTTCGTTATACAAAAAAAAACACAGTGCAAAAGAATGACAACATTCTAGATCCTCCCCCCTTGAAGTAATGCCAAACCGTGTTTTTGTGGGAACCAGAGGCAAGGGCAAAGCGGTATTATAACCCATAATCAATAATTGAGTCCGACATACCCAGACAAAAGACCATTCTGGGATGCACAAATGCATTTCGTTCACTAAACAAAAAAAAGACATACATACACAGACATACATCCATTTTTATATATAAAAATAAAAAGTATTTTCATGAGTTTTATATTACAATGTACTATTTCAATCCTAAAATTACAGATGACGTTTCCTACACATACCAGGAAGATACATATAATTATAATGTTACACATTCATGACTTCTACTAAAATGTTTAGGCTATGCGTGAGTGAATTTTGTAGGTCTTCATTATATATATTATGATAAACAAAACAAGGGCTTTGAATACAAATGAATATAGATATATGAATAATGTATTATTCCATATGGCGGTGACATATCCTCAGAGTTAACGATTGACATTTTTAATTTAGAAGTACATACTGGTAATAAATATAATGGGTGAAAATATAAAATAATGTTATATATATATATATATATATATATATATATATATATATTCATTCTTTAGAAAAATCTCTATCATTTCACAAATCCTAATAAGCAACTCCTACCCACAACACCTGATCCAATCCATAACTAAAAATAGAATTCTTTATCCAAAACTTCCAAAATAATCCAAATGATGAAAACTACGTCGGAAATATAATTTACCTTTTATAAAAGACTTGCATTACCCGTGAAGAAATCTTTTCAGCAAAAATAATATCAGAGTAGTATGTACTTCCAGAAACAACTCTTTCAACTCTTTTTACAAAATTAAAATCCAAATTTAACCCAAGAAACCTAAGTGATCTAGTTTATAAACTAAATTGTCTAAATTGTAATTGCGATTACATATAATTGCACAAAAGAACATCACAACACAAAAGCAATTCCAAAAAAAACAATATAAAACCATGCTCGCAGAACACATCAATGACCTCAAACATAGTATCGATTCAACTAACTTATTTAAAAGGAGATTTTGCAAAACAATTTTTTTGACTATAAAACGATCTTTGACGATTTTTTGACCGTTTGGGTTTCCCTTTCTCTCTAATAAAAGTCATTTAAGAAGTTGGAATATCAGCTCATAGAACTCATTAAGTTCTTATTTCTGTTATATAGCAAATATATATATATATATATATATATATATATATATACATTCATATCTATTGTAATAATTTATAATAAAGCATATTATATAATACACAACATGCGATATATAACATATATTATATAAGTAAATATATGTATATAGCAAGGAATACTATTTTATCTGTTTTATCAAACAGAAACCTATAAAGCAAATAAAATCGCAGACATAATGAACCAGAAATGTGTCTATGAATTAATCAATTGAAATTTTCACAAGAATGAACAGTGAATAAATAAATATATTCACAGCTTCATAAAATAATAAAAGTAAGTAATGACAAATAGATGTAAGTATAGACACAGCCATACAAAAAAATAAGCTAGAGAAATTAAAAAAAAAATCTAAATCTATTTTTTATAAACTTCTGTATTGAACAGCAATCAGAATTCGAATAAACCTATGAGTGTTTCTTAGGTAAATGGGTAGATTTTTAGAGGGCAACCCAACGGTTTACTTATCTATTTTTAATACCATTTTTATTAGAGTATCTCTAATACAGGTTAATTTTTAATTTGATGTAGCAAAGCCGAGGAAACATATTTCCAACTATATTTTCAATTTCTTCGATCTGTAATGCTTTTTTATTATATTTTAGCAACAATTTGGTGAAAAAAATAAAGATAAAATTATTTTTTGCAAAGGTATCACAAATCATCATAATGAATTATTCTATATTTATTTATCGCACAGTATTTCGAAGGAATAAATTAATTAGCATTGAATTATAATTGAAATTAACTATAAGTATACTTATTTGAAAAGGAATCCAATTGAAGCTGGTTAAAAAAAATTATGTTCTTCTCAGATGTTACTTTGAGAAGTTTATTAATTGATTATTAACTTTGCTCATTAATTACAAGAAGTTTTGTTAACAAACCAACCAACCAGAGATAAATCAAAATTCCATATAAATTCTGCAAAAGATATACAATATTAAAAAACGACCTCAATCAGACCAATGTAAAAATAATGACTAGTACTGAACAAGAAACATGTTTCCATATTTAATTCAAAATTGTGTTTACATAAAAATATTCATATTGTCTTTATTTGCACAAAGAAGCTATTATAAAGATAATATTCAAAAGAATAAATATTTACATAGTAGTAAGTTGAAACCTGAGTAATAAATTAAGCAACTGGCTCACGTAATAAAAATTTGACTGAAGAGTATCATGTTCAAAAAATTAACCATCACAATGGCAATATCATATATAGTATTAAATAACAAATTAAACATAAAGAGATATTTTGTGATTTTCATAAATATGATTTCTGAAGACCAGAAGCTTTCTAATTCTAAGGTTTTAGAGCAACATTTTAATAAGAAAAAAAATTATTAAAATACTGGGGCTCTACTATTTGAGCTTCCAATTGAGTTAGCACTATAAACTGATAATTATAATATACATCTAATACAGTAATAAATAAATAAATAGCATTTATAGTAAAAAACTCAAAAATGTTTCAAAAGAAAGGACCCATGTATAAATATCTTATATTCTAATATTGTCTAGGAAAGGACCTTTAGAATGGGATTATATTTTGAAATTTTAGAAACTGAAATTTTAATTTAAAAATCTACACTCCAAATATTTAATAAAAATACTGGTGATGATGGTTACAAATACAAAGGGATGATAGATGAAAAATGTGACAGGATCTTTTAAAATGTAAAATCCTATATACTTTGATTTTATAACAAATTATTATGACTACCTTAAATCTGGAAAAGATTAAATGTAATATGATATACATTAATTTTACTATTTAATACATATTTTACATATAAAAATGCAGTTAAAAGACACACGTATTTTATAAAACTGTATTGGCTTTGATCCAAAAAAACGTATGTTCGACGAGTTATTGGATTGTAAAAAAACTAATATTAGAATTAAAAGTGTTTGAAAATATTTGTGTCGTAATATATACGAGCAACACATGTTAATGTAATAATATTTTTTGAAGTTACAATTTCTTCAATTGTGAGACGTGATAGTTTGCAAATCCCACATAATTTTAATAACAATAAACATGTATATTTTAACCATAATAAATTATTACTAACACCGGCCGGTGATTTAAAATGATATCACCTGACATTTTATAACCTATGTGCATGCAATGTACTTACTTGTGCAAATAATGACTACAGTTACAACACGCACTAAATTGTATATATAATTACAGACACATCACAAACCAAATAATCACTTTATTGATAACATCTTAGAATTAATACTGTACACTTTTAATAATGCAAAACAATTTATTTTAATATATAGCCACAAGCAAAAGCAAAGCGTGACTGACTGACTTACAACCTAATGTACTTGTTTGACACTTCATTCTAGATCGAGATCCGCCATTTTGTTAAAGGTGGGTTTACATGAGTCTGAAGTTGCGCGAGCACATCCCACATCTGTTGCGCATATAAAACATTTTATCTGGTAGATTTTTACTTTCTGAATAATAATAAAACTAGTGGAGTGCATGGATTTGTGCCTTAAGGCAAATTGCTGGAACTTTCTGTACCGTAATTAAAAATTTTTGTACGGAACCCAAAAAAAATTACACAGAATGTGTACACATTATTATAATCTCTATAAAATATCTGATAATTTGATGTACATATGTCCAGTCCAATAAACATTTATGACCGCCAAATGACATTGTTTTAACTTATTTTCAATGAGAGTCCATAACCGCTAGACCTGCCTTTCCAAAAATTCTATCAGTTCTTCATCTTGTGAATACATGTAAATTTTTTTTTGAATTACTAAAATCGGACGCTCCTTTCTCTTAAAAACTGAGTTACCGTTTTTGGCACTTTTTGCCCCGTTTTTAGCTGTCTTCGAAACTGCTAGACCTGCCTATGCCAAAAACCAATCAGCACGTATTCTTATCAAGACGAACCGAATGTTTTTTGAATTATTCAAAGCGGTTGATCGGTGTTCCCGAAATCGTTGACAAAAATTTGTATCCGCACACACACACACATACATCCATTTTTCCTAAGGTATTCCTAAATATTCAGAAAGCTTTGAAACGTAAAGATACATACAAATTTTCATTTTCGATTTTTTTTTAGATTACTATAATCAACCCTATGAGAAGTTAATAACTAGGAGTAAGTGGCATTTTCCTCAAGGCAAAAACTTTCCGATATGTATAAATAATCAACTTAATCAATAATAATTGAGATTTAGATATTCAGATTCGTCTAATATGGTTGAAAAAAAATTTCACTTTCAATAAAAACTATAAAATACAATTTTAAATTAATATCTTTCCAACAAACTAATAATATATGTGATTGTGTTTGTCCTAAAAGGGCAACTCATTATTTTAAACTTTAATAAAATGTTATAATTCAAACTTATTTTGTTTTGTCTCTAATATTTTAGAATGTTTAAACCATTAAATGTTTTTTTAAAATTGCTAGTTTTAACAATTAGATTACAACCATAGATAAAAAAAGATTATTATTTTACATATAAAATAATTTCAAGTTGAGCATTTCGATTTAAACATATTTGAATTTTATTTTTTTAAAAATACAAATTTTAAATAAATACATATACAAAGGTTTATTAAAGGTTTATAGAGTGATTACAACATAATCTATAAGTTAAAGGTGATGGTTTTGAAAAACAAAATCAAAGAAAAAAATAAAATAAAAGAAACCATTAAATATATCCCCATATAAACTATTTTAATATAGTCTTTGTTAACGGTTATATTTTCAAAAATTATTAGTAATTTTATGTTGTTGCTTATTTCCGGCATACAGATTTTCAAAATAATATTTTAATCAAATAAATTTATCTTAAAATTGACTAACGCAAATCATGTGAATGCGCCTTACTACTTTTGACAGAAATCAAAAGTCTGATATGGATAAATAAAATAAACCTTTGTATATGTATTTATTTAAAATTTTATGTTTTTAAGTTTCATTATAGAAGATTTAATGTACATATAATTTTTTAAATTATTCTGAATTGTGTTGATTAATATTATTAGTATATTTAAAAAAATAAAATTCGAAAATGTTGAAATTAAAATGCTTAACTTAAAATCATTTTGTATAAAATAATAAATAAATAAAGAAATAAGATGTATGAGAGGTGAAATATATTGAAAAAAACTATTTTAAAATGACTACAATATTTGTAGCCCAAGAAGGCCCTGCTAATGCCTTGGCTTTAAATAAAGACTTTGCTCAGGTTGTGATAGCTGGTAGAAATGGTAATATAACTTAAAAATATGTTTTATTATATACAAATATTATTTATCATACCATATATTTCGTTCCCTAGTGTTCAAGGTATTTACTATCGACGAAGAGACTTTTACAGAAATATTTAATTTGAGGGTTGGCAAGAATATTAATCTTAATTTTTCTTGCAATGATGTCGCTTGGAGCACAGTGGATGGTCTGTATTTGAAATTATCCTAAAATATAAAATTTGTTAACTTACTTGAAGTTTATTTTTAAATCAATAATAGACATTTGTTAACATAAGGATTAAGTGTCATTTTTTCTGCAAGAATATTGTACATTATAGTGAATTATCTGCATTCTTAGTTAATTTACAAAAATTTACTCATTATTTATGCATATAATTATTTTAATGCTTAATAAACCTATAAATTTCTTATTTTCTAACATATAACTCAGTTTATTCTTGGACGATTTAATATGTAATAATATAAGCATTAATCTTTGGTATATCTATTATATCTCTAAATAATTATTATATTGTTTATTAAAATATTGCTACGAGTTACATATGAAAATACTTTCACAGAAAACATCATTGCAACAGCTGCGACTAGTGGTGCTGTTGTTATATGGAATTTGAATAAACAAGGAAGATCAAAACAAGAACATGTTTTTATGGATCATACGAGAACTGTTAATAAGGTAAATATATAATATTTTTATTAAATACTATATTGTATCTGATGAATGTAACATTTAAAAATGGTACTATATACTTTCGGTTCTATATAAGTCAATATTATTACTACTGGTACTTACTATCAGTTCTATATAAGTTAATAAAATGATAAATATTGTCAAAAAGAATGAATTTACTATGTTTATCTATTGATTTTTTTTTTTGCTAATACATATTAAACTGAACTATAAATTTATTTTCATGCTTTCATGATATTTGATTCTTTCTATTACTATAAAACAAAATGCAGATTTCATTTGGCTTTGATATTTATTAAATACTTGTTCAAAAATCATTTTTAGTCCAATGTACTCTTGAAAAATGTTAAAAATTTTAAACCAGCATTAATAGATGAAATCTATTCAAATAAAAAATAAAATTTGCAAAAAAAAATATTTGACAGCGGTGGGATTCGAACCCACGCCCTTTCGGACTGGTGCCTAAAACCAGCGCCTTAGACCGCTCGGCCACGCTGCCGTTATCTGTGGATTCACAAATAGTACAACTCATTGATGAACAATAAAAAAAAAAATCAAATTCAATATGAAATTTGAATTCCTTCCTTATTCTTTTTTATTATTATTAAAAAAGAAAAAATATATGTATATATTTAAAAATATATATATATACTCTCAATGAACAAAATGACATGGCATGAACGTTTTTACAAATTTTATTCATTAGTTTTCCCAAGTTTTATTCCCAATTTACGGACAATCTGATATCAAGCAGTAAATTTACTTAAAAATATATATCAAAAATATTTTACCAAGTGATAACTACCATAACTCGACATTGCTGCATTAAAAAAATTAAAATATATATCATCAATTTGGAAAATTAAAATAAATATATAAGCCAACATCAGGTAGAAGGCATCAGGTTACCTTCTCAAAGAATCACCGTTAAGAAGAAGTATCATCACAATTCACAATAACTCATCGTTTAAACTTTTGGGTGGAAAGCTCTCAAAATATGCATTTATTAAAACACAATTGTGTTAAATATACCAAAAGGATTAAATTTGCCGAAAAACAATAAGCATTTTTTAAAAGATTCAAATAAAAAACAACGACTGGATGCAGGTCGTTTATGACTATTTTATTCTATTTACCGATTCATTTTATAAATAAATATAAGGGGGCGTCCATTAATCCCGTGAGCTAGTTTTTGAGGATTTTTGGGCCCCCTCTCCCCCTTGGTGATATTCAAAATTACCCCCCCACCAAACATCACGTGTATTTTTAGTTACGTGAAAAAACTAAAATTTTTGATTCTTTTTTTGAAAATGTTTGAATTTATTTTAAAAAGTCAGTTAGAAATAAATACACGTGATATCTTACCATACCCCCTCCCTCTCGTGATATTTCGTGATTTTTTGTCAAACCCCCCTCCCCCTAAAAACCTCACGTGATTAATGGACGCCCCCTAACAGATTTGCGAATCAACAAATTTTTTGATCTTAAGTTATCAATCCAATAAGAAATGGATTAAGTATAGTTCATTTTCTTTTTAATCTTTTAAAAAAATCTGTTAGAGATTGTGTCTTTTTTCTAGAAATAGTGATAGAAAATGTTAAAACTATATTTAATCCAGGAACGGAATTCTTTTATAAACACATATTTCTTATTGGATTAATAGCTTAAGATAAAAAACGTTTTGATTCGGCAAATCTGTAATATTTAATTAAAAAATGAGTTGGTGAATATAATAGAATAGGAAAATAATATAATAAATAACCTGCAACCAATCGTTCTTTTTTTATTTTAATCTTTTAAAAATGCATATTTGCTTTTTGGTATATTTAATCCCACAAACAAAATACTTTTTGTTGCTATTTTGGAACTGGTTTCAATTATTATAGTCTCATTAGATTTTCGTTTTACTATTAAACTACTAAATTAAATGATTTTACTATGTAATTTTTGTATAAATAATATAATTAGTAATAGTTAAATATTATAAATATAATTGTAGCATAATTCAACTATCGTTATAAACAGTTGTATCATTATAAATTGATAAAACAAAAATCATTTACTTACTTTTAATTAAGAAATTATAATCACTATCAGTTTCAATTCCCATAGGTAAGTTTTCATTGTACAGACGGAACTTGCTTAATATCTGGTTCACAAGATGGTACCATGAAATGTTTTGATCTACGAACCCGAGAATCTGTAAAAACATTTGTCAGGTAAATTTGATTATTTGAATAAAAAATTGAATTATCTATAATAAGTATATAATAATATATTATTATGATTATAGCAATACGGAGGTTCGCGATGTGCAATTCAACCCTCATACTCCCACAACGTTTGCAGCTGTTTCTGAAAATGGAATCGTGCAATTATGGGATATGCGAAGGTAAATTTATAATTAAAGGAAATGTAATGAATTTTACTATATGGAATGATTTAATAAATATTTTTTCATAGGACAGATAAGGTTTTGCATCAATTTACTGCACATAGTGGTCCAATTTATGCCTGCGATTGGCACCCAGAATTGGGATGGCTTGCTACTGCAAGCAGAGATAATTCCATAAAGGTATAATATATAACAATTACAATAAAAGTTAACTTGATATAAAGTAGCTTATTATAATTATATAATTTTATAATTAAATTATAAAATCAATACTAATAAATAATGTTGCTTATTTTTTAAGTTAATTTAAGATCTCAATTAATATCAATAGCACAAAGGCTAGACGAATATGAATAAGTAAATATTTTTTCAAGTTTAATTTTAATGTAATATATTATGAAGATAATATAAATATTTAAATGCAATAAAAAAAATGTGAAGATTGGTGGAGCTTACATATACGCTAAGTTCTGGTGATTCGAACCAGAAAAAAAGTGTACATTTACACACTAGAAAATTTTATTCTATACATACTCTGATGGTGCAAATTGATTGACAAGAATTCTAATGATTGACAAGAATCTAATGATCTTCTAATCACATTACATTATTCTAGGTTTGGGATTTAGTTGGAAAACCATCTCTAGATTATACAATACATACAATAGCATCAGTTGGGCGAGTCAAGTGGAGGCCGCAGCGCAAGTATATAATTAAAAAATAAATTTTAATAGAAATTTATGGAAATTAAAACGTTTGTTGTTTTTCAGATTTCATATTGCCAGTTGCGCAATGGTCTTAGATTATAGTATAAATATTTGGGATGTTAGAAGACCTTATATACCTTTTGCTTCATTTAACGAACATAGAGATGTGGTGAAAGGAATTGCATGGAAAGGAGATCCTCATGTATTTTTATCAACAAGCAAAGTATGAAAAAAAAATCATTTATATATATTTAAATTTAATTATATGATTATTTAACAATAACCTAATATAGTTGCAAATTTACAAACCATTAGTTTAAGGATAGATATAAGGCAAGACTTTAAACATCTAGTGTAAAGTTTCCATAGTATTTATTTATATATATATATATATATATATATATATATATATATATATTTCAAAATCCAAATCATGAAATTACTTTTAAACTGGTTACAGTCCTATAAGTTACTTTTCTTATCATTCTATTGCTAAATCCAGCTGGAATGTTTACATTTCGGTTTGTGTCATCATTAACCATTTCAATATAAAATAGGCATAAGGTTCTCTCTATTTTTAACTGTGTTTAGGTTTCCAATTTTATTAGAAGATTCATTATTTCTTTATAATTTTGCTATTATGATAGTGAGTATATTATAATTCGCAATACAAAAGTTTTGAATTTGTTTTTCTAATAATTTAGTAAATAGTAAAATATTAATGTCACGGTCATGGGTTGTGTTTTAAATCTCTTCTTTATTTAAAGAAATATGATGTACTCCAGCAAATAGTATAATATTTATTCCAAGTATCAAACTATTTAAAAATGCTTATTTTTGCAGGATTGCATGCTGTATAGACATTCATTTAAAGATGCTTTCCGACCAGCAAGTAAAGCAAATCCTCAGGGAGTTAGTGTAAATTGCCATGGTGATATGTTATATGCTAAAAAGGCAACTGTGTCCTCGCCTCCGTCTTCCAAAATATCAGGATTAATAAGGTTTTTACTTAAATCGCACTTTGAAATATAAAGCCACGCGATTTCTAGATTAACAATATTTGTAGTAAATATTTTCTTAACTTGATACCAAACACTATTTTTAATATTATTCTTAAATGCACTCTCAAAATCGCAATCATTTGATGCTCCTATGCTTGCTCATATTGTACCAACTCTGATGCCTAAATGACTTAAACCTAGATCGTCATTTTCACCATTTTCTGACTCTTCATTACCCATACTAAAAATTAACAGCATGTTAATTGAAGGACAATAAAATCAAATTTATTTACTAACAATTTATTTATTCACGCTATTTGATCCTTGATAATGAGTACGAATCAATTATTTAAATTGATGTTCAATTATAGGAAAGGAACTTTAAGTTCAGAACAGTTTCATACAGCCAGCAGCACCCTGATGCAGTTGAATTCAAAGGCATTGAGGGATTCGCGGGTTTTCAAAGAATGCGCCACAAAATATATTTTAACAGGGAAACCTGTTCATGCTTTATGCAGCCATAATGCTGAAGTTGCAATTAATGCAGGAAAGCATCAGGTATGTAATAAATAGACTCAATAATTATATTTCAGTTATAGTAGATTAGTAAATAATATGCTTTTAGGTCGGTCTGGTATGGAGAATAATTCAAAATTTATGCCCAATGACGGAATCACAGTCAGTCCAGTCAAATGATTCAATGCCTCAAACATCATTAGCTGAAACTTCGTCTCTAGGACAATATGGGTGAATAAATAAATAGTTAGTAGATAAATTTGGTTTTACTTTTCTTCAACATGCTGTTAACTTTTAGAATGGGTAATGAAGAATCAGAAAATGGTGAAAATGACGATCTAGGTTTAAGTAATTTAGGCATCGGAGTTGGTACAACACGAGCAAGCATGGGAGCACCAAATGATTGCGATTTCGACAGCGCGTTTGAGAATAATATTAAAAATAGTGTTTGGTATCAAGGTAAGAAAATATTTATTACAAATAATGTTTGTATAAGCTTACCAACCTTTCTTTTAAGTCTTAATTACTGAAAGAGCGGCATTTGCATGGAGACAACGAATATTTATAGATTAACACATAAATTGTATGCTATATTTTAATTATTAAGGTCCGCATGATGCTATAACTGATTGGACGTTGTCTACAGAAGCATTTCCTTTGAAACACGATGTAGGACCACCAGAACCGACGCAACCAGTATTGATGTATCCTGGTCAAACAGATTGCACAGTTACAGTAAGTAATTTATTAAAAGAAACCTCAAGATATATATATAAACTAGCAAACCCGACGTACTCCGTTTCGCCACCAGATGGTTTCGTGAGAAAGATGAAGAAATTTTTTGTTTGTTTTATATTTAAAAAGGAAAAATTTGATTTTATTATACAACAGTAATGAATTTATTTCGATTACAAAAATGAAGTGATTTTTAGTGGAACTTCTCTAAGTAAATTAAAGTGAATCCGCAAATTATCCGTTTTATTGAAGTGCTCTTTAGTAAACCACATTTTTTGTTTTTTGGTCCGACGTTAACACAAGCAAAGCGGATGGTTTTCCAACTCGTGAACAGGCAACGTATAACTGCCCATGTGAAAAACAATGATTTTTTAAATAATCTATTTGAAATTTATCCCGCAAACACTAGCGATTGGCCTTGCGACTTGTTATTGCGAACGCAAAGCGAACTGGAAATTGCAATCGTTTGAAGTCAAACGGAAGACCAGTCGGAATCATTGGTATGTCACAAAATCGCCAGCAATTTTTGATTGAATGGTGAAATTCAGTGCGTGTACATCATTACACTTTGCGGCAAGAATTGCTCGTTGACTTAACCAAGCATAATTCTGATAATTCTCACTAATGTTATTACTCGAATTTTTAATCACGGTGCGTGAAGTTCCAGCGGCTTGCATTAAGGCACGATGCCATGCACAACTAATTTTCTTAGCTATAAACCTTGCAGAGCCCGAGACCTTTCCAACGAACGCAAAATTGTCGAAATCGGTTCGTGCGTTCTGGAGTTATTTCGTCAGGAAGGAAAACCCGACTTATTTTTATATATATAGAAGATATAACTATAGCTCCATAGTTAATTGAATTCCAATGTACGACTCTCAAACATACAGAGATATTGACTTTTTCCTTATAATATTTTTATTTATATTATTCCTATTTCCATAGGTTGTGGACCAGCCTTCCACACTCCGAGTATCGCAACCGCCCTCTGCTCCTACTTGGGATCCAAGTTCATTAATTTCTAATTGCCTTCACCATCATGTGGAATTGGGCGATGTGCAGACCTCGGTCTGCATTATTTTAGTGTTGGGCCAGAATAAAGCAACTCAATGCATTGATGAACTAACCCAAGAACACTGGTTTACTGTATACATTGATATGCTTTGTAGAATGAAATTATGGATAAGCGCTACAGAAGTGAGTACACAGATGAAAGTGTACTTCCATTTAAGTATAAAGTTATAATTCTGATGATTTATGTACAGATAATTCAACTGTGTTGGATTCCTGCCATAAGTGACCTTAATCAACGTTCTACTACCATGCACACAAATTGTGGGCAATGTGGTCGAAGTTTGGCAAGATCAGGGTGGTTCTGTACCCATTGCAAGAGCATGCAGAGTTCTAAATGCATCGTTTGTCACCAGGTAATAATTAACAAAAATATTGTAAATTTATACAAGTGATACTTCAATTTGATTTACGCATTAAATTACGATATTCCGAAATATTTGCATAAAATGTGTAAAAGGTGTAGAAGAGAATGGAACATAATAGAAAATATATATTTTATCTTACTAGACTGTGCGAGGTTTATATGTATGGTGCCAATCTTGTTCCCATGGAGGACATGTGAATCACATGCGACAGTGGTTTTCTAATCATCGACAATGTCCTACTGGCTGTGGTCATCATTGTGAATATTGATGCTATGCTATGGATGTAAAAATAAATTAATAATAATAAAGCAAATAATAAAGATAGAATAAATTAAGATCACATTGACCAAAATGTTAACTTATGTAAGAAGATTTGTATTTAATACCGAAGTTTACTGAGAAGAGAGATTTATGTGATAAAGTTTCAATATTGCAATTAATTTTTAATTAGTTTAAAGTTACTATGTTTTTTTCAAATATATAAAACTTTTATATCAATATATTTAAGTACGGTTTATACAAAGAAAGTTATATGATTAAAATATTTATTATTTAGAAATGTTTGTTATTTAGTTTGTAAATCATTACAGAAACGTTTAAGATATTTTATAATATTTTACTAAGGTTTAGAACATAGAACGGAATATGTAAATTTTCGTTTTTAATTAAATAAAATCAATTGTAAGTGTGTAGTGCCAATTATTATTAAATTAAAATATATTTAATAATTCATTTTAATTTATAAATTGAAACTTAAACATATCATGACAAAGAATAATAATTAAGTTATTTATCATTGTTTTCATTGTGAGTTATACAATCACATAAATAAAATATCAATTTTAGTGACTTTCGAGTTTCAGCAATCATATTAAATAAATACGCATTCGAGTTTTATACTTTAATCAGTTGTTTAACTTCTACAGTAAATCTTATAATATATTTGCATATTTGTATACCTTGCACTGTCCACAATTCGAACAACAAAGATTTAAAGTAAATCCAAAAAATTCAATTAAGAATATTAACAAATAAAAGTTGTTGAACTTGAGGAAGTATTAATGATCTGCAAGGACTTTAGCTATTTGACTAGATATTTTTCTCACTCTTAATAATTTAATTTTATTCCTAAACTGTACATCAGCAATAAATAATAAATTTAATCTAGCATCTATAATATAAATTGCCAAATAGTTCTAGAGAAATTTTGAGTCTGTATGCAGTTTAAATTTGTGAATATATAAAAAGTAATAGTAAACTCACCATCATTTTTTTCACACATATGAAAAAGGATCTTGAAAACACTTATGAATTATTCTTGAGAAGTATTATGTATTATTTACATTGGTTTTGCAACTTGACAATATAAGCCTTCATTGAAATGCAGTTCTATATACTTTCAAACTTATCTGCCAATATAAATTTTTGCTGATCCCCAAAATTTCTATCAAGAAAATTTTAGAAATTATTTTTCGATTACAGATCACAACTTATATTTATCTTGGTTGGAATTAAATTTCAATATGCCAAAGACATAAAATTCTCTTCCTTTACATTAACTTGAGTGTTACCTGCATTAATGGCATTGCTAGAAGTAGAACTTCTTAAAATCTTATACTAAACTATTTATATCTTAAGATCTAAGAACAACAAAAATTTATATAATAACTTGATATTTATCTATGTATGTTATGTTAATAATAATCATGATCAACGACTAGAATCGAAAATAAAGTATGATGAATTGTCAGGATTTAATATACACTTTTATAGTATTTAGTTGTTTTCTATAACTATAGCTATTATCCACTTTACATGTAATAAAAGTTATAGTTTCAATCAAAATTTAAATCACATACAAATAAAGCAATAAATTATAATTATTTATCTACTAGATTTGTATATATATATCCATGCATCATTAATTATTTTATGCGAGTGATTTATGTTATTATTTTGTCTAGTATTAATACTAATTTTCTATAAATGATTACTAACTAGTAAAAACTAAGCATAACATATAACTTGAAAATTAAACATGAAATGTTTCTCTCTTACATAGAATATTATGTAGAGTACGAGTTTTTATAATTTGCAAATATATTACCTTTTGCTTAATTTCCAACAACGCGAAAACTTAGTTTTAGTAATAGAAGATGCACAGTCGGCCCTCAAAGAGCTTTTATTCAGAAATTGTCAACACATGAATTTTTATATTATATTAAAAGAAGTGACCACATTTAGTTTACTTAATTACATCAACGTATTTAAACATTCTAATATTTCTATCTAAAGAAGGCCTCGAAAAAAGGTTGAAACTTTATTAAATATTGGTCAAATATGAGTTTAATCATTGGAAGTGAAAAACTCATGTGCTCGTATAATTATCAATTCGTAAATGCGGATAAAATGTAGTTAAACTATTTTGATCTAGATGTTTTTAATAAGTTCATCAAAAAGAGTAAACATTCATATGAATAATACAATAAAATTATAAAAATGAATTGGTGCTCTCAAAGTGCAATGCACTCTTCTTAAGATGTACAAATGATAAAAAGTAATTTAAATCATAAAATGTATCATGTTAGTGTTGATACTATTTTAAAAATGAAATATATTATTACATTAACTTGTTTTGGAATTGCCTGTGCACAAATTACGTGTTCATGACGACGATATTCTCAAATTCAGCTATGTCATCAAAGTGAAATAAATTCAGCTATATAACATTTCAAAATGAGATATTTATTTGAAGGATCAAATGTTAATTGTTAAATTTTTTGAATATATGAAAATAAAAAAAAAAATTATACCATTTGTGATGCTCATTCAATTCTGCATCACTAATTGAAAGGAAAGTTCATCAAATAACGCAAAGTATTTATGATATATATATATATATATATGTATACACACACATATATATATATATATATGTATATACACACATATATATATATATATATATATATATGATGATAGTTTTGTCGACGTTGATATATATTTGAAGTATTTTGCAGCCCAATCGTCAAATTAAAAAAAAATTAGAATAGATTTTTTTTATTCCATTAAACGTTTCGACACTTAATGTGTATCATCATTCAGTAATGTAAAAAACATTTTACAATAAATAACAATAGTTGATATTAAACATAAAAATATAAAAAGGAGAAAATTATATACATACCAAACCAGAAAGACTCTCATCTTTTACATGATAGTTACAAAGTCATTATAAATTTCATGAAAAGTAATTCTTAATGCTTCGTTCGTTATATCCCTTCTCTGTTTCTCATTCCTCATTTGTTTCTTACACCCCGCATTCACTCACTCTACCGCACGTGCCGCGTAACCTTGATCAGTTTTGTTACAATGCACAGCGATTGAACATCATATAATATAGGAGGTCAATATGTGCTACTTTAATTTCTCTTTTATTAATTATATTAGTTATGATATTCTTTTATACAAGTTTTGTGTTCAATAAATTTAATATGATTTTTTTGTGTTTTTCCTGGTTTGGTCTGTATATAATTTTCTTCTTTTTATATTTAATATCAACTATTGCTATTTATTGTTATTTTTTTAATTTGATGATTGGGCTGCACAAAATTCTTTTATATATATATATATATATATATATATATACATAATATGAAATATATAATGATTAAATTAGTATAATATACACAAATATAAAGTAATACCCCGACGAGTGTTTCAAGATACGGGTCGCCAAAGAAGTGGGTTGTTCATAGCTTAGACATACAAGCAAAATTCGAGACCGATCTTTGAGCGAGTAAGGGTTTTCTAAATAATAAAAATATGAAAAATTTCGTCGGTTATAACAATTAGTAGGAATATCAATATTGATATTCCTACCATAGAAATACTTTGACTCTTTAGATATATATAATATAGAATCACGTGGACAAATTGATTGTTCTATCATAAAACCTCAAGAGATATTGATAATGTTTGTTACCTTAAACAAATTTGCTTATTGAAGAAATGCATGAACACAAAGCACATTTTCTTTATTTGGCTGTGAAATCTGGCCAATACCCAACTTGATATCTATGTGTAGTTCCTTCAAACAATCTTTCTAACCAATTAGGCAGACCATCCAACAAGTTTTCTTCCAAAAGTACTTTTTTTCTGTCATTATTGTTGTGTCTCCTTGAAATTCCTCCAGAAATATCATCATCACTAGATGATCCTTCTGAAGTGTCTGAATCTAAACCCAAAAATGCAGCACCAGCTTCAGGATCAGAATAACTATAGCCTCTTCTAAGCGACCTTGACATACGTTGCATTCTCTGAAAAAAATAATTAAGTATAAATATTAATCAAATTCGTTTTCCGACAACAAAAATGTTACCTTGCTGCCAGTAGAACCGTTGCATTCAGGATGCATGGCATGATATACACAAAAGTATCTTCTATGGCCATTAAGTGCTAATACAGTGCCGACACAATTTCTGGGATTAATATTAGTTAATCTGGCAGAATGATTGAACTGCTGGCCTTCATAATCATCATCATTCATGTCACGAAGCAAACACATCTCAAGTAGTGATCTATACCAGCCAAGGCATTTGTCTAGTGTTGCATGAGCAAACATAAGAGTTTTATTCCTGATGATAAATCAATAATAAGTATTAGTTTCAAATATTGCATATTATTTAATATATAGCAAACCTTCGATACGGCCACACAGCTTTATGAAATGCAGGCAGCAAAGTCTTTCTGCTCTGCACATCACAAAGTAAAACTATGGTTCTACATCCTGGTTTTAATAGTCGCACTAGCCCATTATATTTTTCTTGCAACAACTCGTGCAGTTTCAACTCTTGTGATCTTCTTTGCTGATATAATGCTCTATATGCACTTGATGTATCTATGCAGAAATAGTTTGATTCATTAATTGTTAATTGTTTTAAAACAATGTTGAAACCAGCACATATGAACAGAGAGAGATAAAAATACAATTTTTATACATGTAATACTAAATTGATAATGGATATTAATCATTTATACCTGATGGTTCCATATCATCTTCAACAGTATTATTGTTGTTATTATTAGACAGCAAAGGTGTAGTAGATGATGAACAAGAACTATGTTTCTTAGTTTTTTGCATTTTTTCTTGTTGAACACGCTCCTCTTCAGCCTATGATGCAATTAAACATGTTAGAAATGTATGCAAGGGCAACTAAAAACAATTCTATTACAAGGGTCTTCTGAAATAGAATCCTTACTTTAACTAATCCAGCCATAAAATGCCCAATTGCAAGAATAAATAAAACAGTTCCAACCACTGACACGGCTGGCATAATATGCTCATGAGTTAAATGGTCACTTGCTATTTCCAAACAGAGTGCAAGTTTTGAAAATACTTTTGAAATAAGACCTTGAGCATGCTCATCTAACAGGTCTTTAATAACGGCTTCATATTGCAAGGCATCAGTGCTTCGAAGTAAGTATTGTATTTTCTCTTCTAATCGCTGTCTAGTCTTATTGTAGTTACTTTCTTGTACAAGGTGATCCTCATCAAATTCTTTGTCATTATCTGTATAAGCTTCATCATCAATTTTTACCCAAGTTTCATCAAACCAATCATACATAACTCTTGTTGTATCACGTCTCCAGATTATGACCAATCTATTTGTGTTTTAAATACAATTTAGACATATATTCAACAGTTAATGTTCTTATAAATAAGTAACAATTTAAATAATAAATAAAACAATAGTTTAACAAACTTACTTCAATAACTCATCTCTTGGAGCTTCTGGTCCTAAAAGTAAACTATCAACAAATGCCCTTTGTTTCTCTCTGAACACATAAGTGAATCTAACTCTGCCATGATATGAACCGCTAACTCTTCTAGCAACTTGCCTCAGAGCTTCTCTATATCCATCTTGTTCTTTATCATCATCAGTTACAAGCACTACACATAATTTTCTCTTTGCTCGGTTCCACTCAGCAGGACATAGTGCATCCAAAATCTGTTGATCAGACAATCTTGGCAATGCAAGATATTGATTTGCTGAAATCACATCTCGTAGGGTGTCAGTGGGAATATCAGACATAGTAATACTGACTACGGGAGAATGATGATGATCTTCATTAAACATCAAAACAGTGTCCAAAGCACGATTAATTTTGTATCTGTCCCTGATCTTATCTGAACTATCTGAATCCGTGCAGACAAAGCTAGTAAATGATAATACACATAAATTATGGAGTCAAAATATTCTATCAGTAAGATAAAAATATAATTGATACAATTATGCATTAGAAAGAATTCCAATATATATAGTAATAAAATGAATTGAAAATTGAAAAAATTAATTATATGTTTAAAAGGTACGAGTTTTCAAATAATAACTCATCCCTTGGAGCTTCTGGTCCTAAAAGTGAACTATCAACAAATGCTCTTTGTTTTTCCCTGACCAAATTGATTTATTATTTCATAAGAAATTCCATAATTAGTTATTAAATATTTTGTCACCCAGAATTGAATGTATTAAAAATTATACAAACATTACATAAATAATACATTTTTTTGCAAAATTATTGAATGAAGAAACTGATACCATTAAATCATATTAATCCATTATATTCATAGTTCCAAAATCCCAAAATTAATGTGGCCAAGTAATTTGTTAATTTTGATTGCACTTTATTAAAGTTTCAATTATTTAAATTAATGTCAATATGTGCTTGATGCTATGTATTTATGACCATGGTCAGAAAAAGATATTTAATAACATATATAATTAAAATTTACCCAAATGCTACAGTTTTCCTGAATCTGAAAGCTGTTACCAAATATCTAAGTCTAGGCTGTGGTCTTGGTTCCATCACCAGCGCTCTAACTCGATTGTCTGGCCAGCCAGACAAAAACTGTTCTACATTATTGTCAGTTATTTGAGCAATAAGCTTGTATGGCAACTTCAGTTTAACAAACTCTAAAATAATACATCAATATTAAATAAAATCACTGCAAACAACGTAATATGGAAGTAGAGCCAATATTGACTTTTATCTATAAATTCATATTATTTACCTACAACCTTCTGTACATTGAACACAGTATCTTTGTATACAAAAGTACTCCCATCTAGTAAGAGAACAATACAAGGTAAGGAATGAACTCCAATATTTCTTGTTAATGATAATTCATGGCTTGAATGTACAGTATTTAGAACAATTCCTAAAGGTTCTAATGAATCTATTAAACGTCTCCAAATCGGTACAGCTTGTATACAAGAAAAACACAGGTCAGCATAAAACATCAGCAAATGTGGAACTTGATGACTCTTTGGTACTAAATTAAGTTCATATTGTCTGAAAAATTCAATTCAAGTATATTTGAATGTATTGTTAAAATTAATTTATAATATATATCTCATTGTAATATTTTATATAAGAATATTAATTTGGCATTGAGTTGTTTATACCTGCTTGTGACCGACATTTTATGAAAGATTGACATGTCTTGTCCATTAAAATGAAAGCGTCCTCCATGGCTTCCAAATAGATTTTCAAATGGATCTCCAGCAAATCTGCCATACTGACTGTAATCATGTCGTTGTTTGTATAAAGTATTGTCCTCATTTGTTATTCCATGTAAATCAAAAGCTTTACGTCTTTCAGGATCAATCAATAATTCATAGGCTTGTTTTATTTCTACAAATTTTGCCTCAGCTGATGGATCATCTGATTTGTCAGGATGCCTTCAATATTAAAACATTTTTTTTAATATACAAAATATGTAATTATATCCTATTTTCGTTATATAAATTACCATTCTTTTGCTAATTGCTTATAAGCCCTTCTGATTTCTTGCAAAGTAGCTTTCCTACCTATATTTAATATTTTGTAAGGGTCACCTATATCTGCAAAATTGCTTATGACTAATATAAATAGTATGTTGAGTAGAATTTCTAACTTTAACCATTGCATCGTCTAATACCAATATAAACTAGAACGTTAATTAACTAAAAACATTTAAACGATTGCAATATTAATAAATGAACATTGTTAAATGCATTAAATTATTTAGTAAATTCATTCTTCAAAACGCAAGGAATATTGTCAAACCATAGAGGGAAAAGAATACGAATTGTCAAACACTAAGAAACATAGATGCATATGTCAAAAAAGTAAAGATACGCGCGAGCCCAAATCTTTAAATTTAAAGCGCAAAATTCAAACAGAAAGTTTATTAAGTTAATTATGCTTATTTATCTAAGGTTCAAAAAATATATAAATAATATATAGTAGATGAATAAGCCTCATTTTAATAATAAGTGCGGTTAATAATATTCCTTTCTGTCATTTTTTTCGTATGTTGGTATGCTCATAGTTCAGTCAGATCAGTGTTTCTGAAACTGTCATCGTTCTTGACAGTATGTTCTAGGCATAGATAAAAGAAGAAGGTTCTAGGAATGCTGCATGCAGCTATCTTCACGATCAATGTTTTTATTTATGTCAAATTGCTAACTTGGTTATTTGTAAATATTGAATACAAAGTCTTCTTTTTCTCTCTCGATTGCTGTAAAAACAAAATCATACTGCAATTGAAGAACATTATTGTATATTATTAAATAAATTGCAAGAAGTATAAAATCGCACTCTCCGCAAATTAATTTACAAAAATGGGACGCCGCAAGTCGAAAAGGAAGCCACCAGCAAAACGTAAGGCAATTCAACCTCTGGATGTACAATTCAATTGCCCTTTTTGCAATCACGAAAAATCTTGTGAAGTTACAATGGATAAAGGGAGAAACACAGCCAGGATAACTTGTAGGGTATGCCTGGAGGATTTTCAAACAACTACAAACTTTTTATCAGAACCTGTTGATGTTTACAATGATTGGGTCGATGCTTGTGAATCTGCCAATTGATTTGCCCCATAATATAAGATTAATTATATTTTTAAATTTAATGGACACTATTATTTAAGTGAGTACTATCGCAAAATGATGACGATGGTGAAATTTTATTCCACTGTTTTAATGTGAAGTTATGCCGATGAAGGCAACTAATTTTACTTTATAGTTTAGTTAAAATGAACTAATCTATCTTATGGTAATCAATATGTACTTATAAAGTAAATATATGTCTAATAAAATAATTGTTTCAATAACACCATTTGTTTTCATAATCTACCATTTTCAAAGTTTCATGTTTTCAATTCATAGTCAAGTAAAAATAATTAATATTAGAATTAAATACTTATCTGTGCTAATTGTTCCAGTTGATAAATCCTCTATAAAACTTGTGGTATAAGGTCAAAAGCAAGTACTCCTCCATTGTCGAAGCGATATAAATTTTAATGAACTGTTTATTCCAGGAATGTTCACAAAATTACAAATCTAACTAACACTTTCGAGGAGTAATCTTGATTGAAGTAAAGTAGAGAGTATACTTCAAACATTAATCATTCTGAAATATTGTAATGATAAAATTTTATTGCAAAGTTTTTACTATACTTCATAGAATCTATTTTTTATTATAAATTTCAAATGTTAAAATATGAAATATCATATTTATAGTTGAAACCACAGGAGCAGGTTTTAACTACGGCATTTAATAATAAAAATTTACACTAGCAGTTATTCATCTAAAATTAATAAATCATCATTAACTTGATATATTTGTTATCATAATCGTCATCTATGCATTTAGATGACGATTATGATAACAAATTTAATTTAATATAATTTTTTAAAAGAGATAGATTGAAAAATGTTATATCAATAGGTGAATGATAAAGCACGATTGTTTTTCTTGGAATTATAGTGTTCATTTTGTCATTTAAAAATTAAACTTATTTATTAGATTATTTATTTTGTTAAAATAATTCCTAAAATTATTTTACATAGTAAAATCATTATTAAAATCTATTTACCTAAATGCATATATGTACATATATGTCTGCTTAATATAATAATTTGAACTGCCACTGGTTATAAAAAACTTTCCAACATTCTAAAATTTTGTACAAAAATATAATTGACTCCCTTAAGCCTTATTTATATATGATAGATAAATATACCTATGGTATAATATTACAAAGACTCTTGACCCTAGACCCTCTTTTTACCATAAGTTTTCTTCGACTCATTTTGCTGTCTGCGTTTATTTGCCAAAAACATAGCCCAGAAAAAGCCAATCAAATTTACAACCAAAACTCGCAACTGTAAAACAAAAATAAAACATTCAAAACTGATTCTGAAAATCATTATCATGTACATTTAATCTACTGACCATAGGTGGAACAAATTTAATATTTATAAATACTAGTAGTGATAGGTATCTCCAATTCGCTTGAAGCACAGGCCAAAATAAATGCATGAGCTGATTATAAGCTAACCCATGAGATTTACCCTAAAAATAATTTAGCATTTGAATTATAATTTAATATACATTGCTTCCTATTACTGAATCAAGATATACCTCAAACCTGGCTAATGTGTATAAGGAAAGTATTTGGAAGAATGGAGTGTATAATAATCGTTCTATTAGAAATTTTGTAATAATTCGTCCGTTTGATCCATTTGCTGGCAGTATATCTTCAAGACATTTGTAGAATATATGAGGTACAGGCCCACCAAACAATAATCTATAAAATTAAATAATAATAAATAATAATAATAAAATCATTTTCTTAAATTACTGTTCCCTACAAATTTATTGAATTAATAATCAGTTTAATAAATTAAATAAAATATTTATATCATACAAATGAAGAGGTTTTGATTAGTCTGCATTTATTCACTTAGTTAACTCAATAAAATTCCTAATACAAAATTTAATCTTATTTAAATTTTCATTAAAATGTAACCATATTCTTATTACAATTATAAGGTTTTGTCAAATAACATTATTAAATTATTACTTTTAGAGATTTTATAGAGTTAAGTTAATCAAATGATTAAATACAGACTAATCAAAACCTCCTAATTTGTTAATTCATTAAACTATATAAACTTTTGAAAATTATATCATAAATATATATAATAACATAATAAAAACTACTTCAATATATAGAAATAAAGAAATGATGCTTCATATTTATTAAGAACAGATAACTATTCAAATTAAAAATAAATTTGATTGAAATAATTTTAGGATTATTTATAGTTATAATTTCATTATACTTAATAATGTAACTCTGTAAATGCTGTATTTTTATTAAGATAGAAAAATGTAAAGAATAATCAATTAAGGTACCAATTAAATTTAAATTTCTATTTATAAATGGTTGTTTCTAATGAAACACAAATATGTTTTGCACATGTAAAGAAACGCTTTCAGAAGATCAGGAATTATTAGACTAACATGTAATTACCCATTAATCTTTATTTTTTTTAACTTATATCTGTAAAAAATAAAGTAAATTACACAATTACCCAAATAGTCCAAATGATCCTATGCTTTCAAAACTTATATTTCTATTACCAGCTACCAACTGCGATGCTAAATTTCCAGAAGAAGCTATAACAGCACTAAAATGTTTAAAGTGAATTATTATATATTTAAAAAAAAGAAATATTGCATTCATAAATATGTTATACTTACCTTGATACTGATTTTGTAATTAATGGATGATTGAACAACTGTTCAAGATACCATCCTAGGAAATTATAGACTGGTTTCGATAAAGACATCTTGGACGTTTTCTATAAATGAGAATAAACAGCAATTGATTAATTTTTCAATAAAGCACATTGATGAACTGATTTGATTATTTACTACATGATATATTATACACACATATTATTAATAATATTGTTGTATTGTTTATAAAACTTTCAATTGAATTTTTATAGGTATTTTAAACATTTAGTGTACAATAATGTGTATCGATTCATTATATAAAAGTGGTAAATTCATATATTATGATTAAATAGAGCCCAATAAATTCATAAAAATTAGATAAAAGATTCACAAATAAAATAAATAATATCACGTTAAGAAAAACCTGTATATGGTTACAGGAATGAGAAAGAGTTGAGTAAAATTGTGAGAGCCGTAAAGAAAAATTTTCATAATAGAACACAATAGATTATAATCAACAGCGCTCAAGTAATAATTAAAATATGAAAAAGTATAATAAATATTAATAATAAATACAATACATCTTTGTTAATATCAAGTATATGTTGAAAACCTTTTTGTATATTAATTTTAAGTACTTAAGATATTGAATAATTATTTTTAACAAGCATGAAAATAAGAAAAAACAGAACCATGAAATAATTTACGAATTGTAAGTTCTAGTTTAATTATGGGGTTTCTGACTTACATTTCAAGACTTTAAATTTATACTTCATTTATTTCTTACCGTAATAAATAAGAACACAAAATCAACTTCTTGGAAATTAACAATAACAAATTATACAATTTTTATTCTTAATTAATGGAAGTCATTAACTTCAAGTTGAAATTTGTTTTGTACAATTGTAAAATTTGTATTTGTTAATACTTATTAACACTTTATTATTAAATTAAATAAATGACATTACCGAAAGCTTTTCTAATTTAATCACGATATATTATTATTTCCACAGAAGCACGGAAAATATAGAATTGTTATTTTATGTACTTTGATACCAAGGCATTTTTGAGATTGCAAGTTATCAATATGCAAGGTCATGATAATGTTCAAAGTTTGTTTTTGTTTAAATAATTGCAAACTTACCTTAAAAATTTACATACAGTTGATACGTACTTCTTGAACTTTCTGTTTTTTTTAATATATAATCCACTTTACGATTACTCTACCGAGCACATATTTTTTAATTATTTATTATCAAATGATGAAAAGGGAAAGTTTGCAGAATGAAAACTGACACTTGCAGAAGTTGACAAACGTGGTGACCATATTTGCGTTTGACAGGCAGGGGTGGTAAACCCAAAACCTTAACCTGGACAATAATAAAATATAATATATGCATATTATGTTATAATATATTCATATTAAATTCATGGGGTCATCTAATTACTTACTTACATTTACATATTAAAAATGCAATTTGTGTCCATCAATAAAATCGTTAAATTCATTGATACATTTCAATGACAATCTGATTGATCCAATCAAGGTAAAGTCGTCTTGCTTCTTGTCTATTTCTCCAATTCCTTGATATATCACATTTTTCGATATATAAGTACATAAGGCTCTCAAAAACCATCTATCCAGAAGAAGTAAAACAGTATAAGCATTGTGCTTGAGACCTACTTTTTGACTTTCCTTGCTATTCTTTTATCACATGGTATATTGCCTGGGGTTACTAAGAACAAATATCTAAAATTTGATCTACAAAAAAAAACAATAGGAGTAATTGAAGCAAATTCACCTCTATGAATCTTTTTAATTTCCTTGCTATTCTTTTATCATATGGTATATTGCCTTGGTCACTAAGTACAAGTATCCAAAACTGAATCTACAAAAAAAAGCAAGAAGAGCAATTGAAGGAGGTTCACCTACATAACCCTTTTTTCTTTCCTTGCTATTCTTTAAGTCATTAAGCACAAGTACCCAACATTGGATCTACAAAAAAAGACAATAAAAGCAATTGAAAGAAATTCATCTCAACAAACCTTTTTTAATTTCCTTGCTAATCTTTTATCATATGATATATTGCTTGCGGTCACTAAGAACAAGTATCCAAAATTAGATCTACAAAAAAAAACAACAAGAGCAATTGAAAGAGATTCACCTCAATTACCTTTTTTACTTTCCTTGCTATTCTCTTGTCATATGGTATATTGCCCGGGGTTACTAAGAACAAGTATCCAAAATTGGATTTACTAAAGTAGATAACAAGAGCAATTCAAAGAACTTTACCTCAATAACCTTTTTTACTTTCCTTGCTATTCTTTTATCTTATGGCATATTACCTGGGTCACTAAGCACAAGTATCCAAAATTGAATCTAAAACGCTATAAAAGCAATTGAAGGAGCTTCACCAGTTTACCACAATAACCTTTTTTACTTTCCTTGCTATTCCTTTATCATATGCTATATTGCCTGGGGTCACTAAGCACAAGTATCCAAAATTGGATCTAAAGAAAAGGTAATAAGAGCAATTGAAGGAGTTTTACCTAAATAACCCTTTTTTCTTTTTTTGCTATTCTTTTATCATAAGGTATATTGCATGGGGTCACTAAGCACAAGTATCCAAAATTGGATCTACAAAAAAGGCAATAAGAGCAATTGAAGGAGCTTCACCTCAAAAAGCCTTTTTTCTTTCCTTGCTATTCTATTATAATATGGTATATTGCCTGAGATTACTAAGAACAATTGTTAAGTTAAGTATCCAAAATTGTATCTACAAAATAGGCAATAAGAGCAATTGAGGAACTTCACCTCAATAACCTATTTGAATTTCCTTGCTATTCTTTTATCATATGCTATATTGCCTGGGGTTACTATGCTCAAGTATCCAAAATTGGATCTACAAACAAGCAATAAGAGCAAATGAAGGAACTTCACCTCAATAACCTGCTTGCAGGCCTTTATTCCAGAAATAGATTTTTTGCCATTTGGTAATAATAGATTATGGTTCATGTAGACAAATTAAACCAAAATTTGAGAAGTGACATTCTTGGCCATAAAACTAGAAACAGAAATGCTTATTTCCACAAATCAGTCTGGAACCTTCACCATAATGACATAGTGATTTGTAATTTGTAATAAGCTTCCCAAGAAGTGGAAATGCAGAAACAAATATAATTTTAAAACATTTGTGAAAAGTAATTTACTGAATAATCCATATTTTGAATAATTGTAACATTAGAATTACAATAAACCCCACAATAACACGGTTTTTATATAACTCAGAGCTGAAATTGGGCAGGCTTCCTATATTGGTGTACTTATGGATCCAAACTAAAATATAAAAATAGGACTGTCCTGCTTTTCTTAATATTTCAGAAAAGTAAAACTATCCTTATAAGAATTTTGATATGAATTTATTAGTTGATATATGAATTAATTATATCTATCTGTAGTTTGATGAACCCAACTGATATAGTTAGTTAATTTTGTATAAATTCCGAATTTGCCTCTTCTTCCACAACCTTCACCGAAACTAGTTATCCCTGTAAGTCAAATATATTAGAAGAATATAAAATAATTAAAAAACAACTGTGTTCATAAAGATTACCATAAATGAACCATTTGCCATCAGGCGCTTTACAGACGAGAGGTCCTCCTGAATCACCAGCACATGAATCTCTGGTACCTCCGCGAGTGCCCCCACAAAACATGTTTCGCGTGATGTGATACTCGCTATATGCTCGATGGCATTCTCTATCTGGTATAATTGATATCTAAAAATGGTTAAATAGAAATATTAAGAAAAAAAATTAATCATTGTTTTCAAGAACAGAAAGATTTTAATAAGGAATTTTATGTTTTCTCGACGCTTCAAGCCGATCTGAATCATTTAAAACTAAACTGGGCTGAGTATCTATGTGGTGTCTCTTATATTCTAATGAATCAATAATTTAGTAAATAAATAATGAATTGTATTACCTGAGCTTCGTGTAACACATTAGTTCCCTTATGGTGATTTATATTCGCTTTTCCCCATCCAGTTATGGCACACATCAGGTTGTCTAAATTTCCAGTAATTTTTTGCCCATACTGAATATTGGGCAAACAAGCAAAACCGACGCTATCACTGTCCAAAACTGTTGGCAATCTAAAATTAACCAGAAAGAATAGTCGGATGAGAATTTTTTATTGATGCAGCAACAAGAGCCAGTTCCACTTGGTAAAATGTTGCTATCTATAATTCCGAGTGAAAACCGATGCAACTACTGCCTCTGATACAATGTCCATAGCTCTGACCACTAGGTCAATGATCAATAAAAAATACAAATCTTTTCTTACCTCAGTAATGCAATATCATTATCAACAGTTTCTGGATCGTATGATGGGTGAAGAAACGAGTCCCTTATCTTAAATTCCATTTCAGGACCTTCTCGTCTCGACAAGTCATGTTCGCGAATTCTTGCATAAAGACGCCTTTGTAGAAAAATAATACTTATTACGACTGCATTGCAATTAAAAATATTTTATTAAATTGAACAATTTTTTTTAAATTATTGACTGAGCAGAATATTTATTATTTCTTTCTCACTGTACCTCCTTACACAATGTGCAGCAGTTAAAATCCAACGTGGTGCGATCAAGGTTCCTCCACAAAAAGGTTCCTAAAATTGAAATTTGATATAAAGTTATTATTTTTTATGATTATAGTTTCTACAAAATATCTACAGATATATGTATTATGTATAAAAAAAAACAAATATTTTAAAAAATTTTCAAATTGCACTGGTTTTCTGAGATGAAACAATAAGGCTAGAACTTTGCATTATATATTACCAACCAGCACTTTAAGTCCGCCTATTAGGAATTATCACATTAATGTTTTATGAGATATTTATATCTTTATACAACTATAAATAAGTGCTGTAAAAGTAAAACCAATAAAATAATTCTTTTAAGTTTACCTTGTGTCTATTAAGTAGTAGAACTTGCCATGGCCACTTGCCACTTCGCGCCGGCCTGCCTCCAATAATTCTTAACAGAAACCACATGTCGTGATTACCAGGACTATTGGATGACTCCTTATTAGAATTTCTACTATTTTGACTTCCTTTATAACTTTTACCATTTCTTAAGTAGCTAATATCATTTTTATTTCTGTTGAAGTTATTTTTCTTGTTGTTGTCCATCAGAACACCACATATATCTGCTACATTTTCCAGGACTCTCGATGGATTCTCTGAGGATGGAAGATATATTGTTATTTTGAATAAAAGATAGTAAATGCATCACCTAAGATATATATTGGTCAAACCCTGGCCATTGCATTCTTTATAAATTATTCTAATTAGAATATATGTAGGTAACTATAATATCATATTCAAGAATATTATATCATATTATACTAAAGCATTATTCATAATTATAGCATAGGTATTTTTTTTAAAAAAGAAGTAAGATTTTGCCAAAATAATAATGTCTTCCTTTTGACCTCACATAATTTATGGATGTCGCCTTCAAGAAGAGTCTCCAGCCAACATGGTGACCAGACCAGACTATTAATAAGTACGCATTCAGATTCAAGTATGTATTCTCATGTGACACAACATCAGGAAGAAATAATATGAACTCGCAAAACACTCGGGTCATTAAAGTTACGGAACGAGAAAGTAAAAGTTCATTCATAATGCATTTATATGCGTTTATAAACTTTCTTAAGTATTCATCACATGAAAAACATCCGTACTTAAATTGTATTATTAAATAAAGTAGTTAAACAAACAATTTATCACTGAGAGTTTACACAGTTATATTGGAAGAATGATGAATTTCAACTTTTCCTTAGTTTTTTGTCCACGTGTAGAAATCTTTTTCGACAATTTAATATCCTTACAGTATTTCTGTATATTTTTGCTAAGGAACTGTCTATTAATTCGTGAGGCTTAAAAAAAGTATAGAGATTTGAGAAAAAATTAAGAAATACAAAGTTGTGAAAGGGAGGTGTTGTAAGTAGTAAGATATCACGTTTATTTACCCGAATTTAAAAAATGATCCAAAATTTTTCAAAACTAATCCAAAAACTTTACGCTTTGTTCTAGATACTTAAAACACATGTGGTGTTTGGTGAAGGAGGAAGGTAATTTTAAACATCACCACGTGGAGGAAGATTTCAAATCCAAAGGGTCCAAAATTCTTTAGAAATCCATTAAATAATTACTGGTCGCCTCCAAATCAATTCATAAAGCATAATCTTGAACTCTTTAACTTAATTTCAATATCAAATTGATATTACAAAACAAAAAAATTGTCTATAAAAGTACCTAAGGAGCGTCCATTAATCACGTGAGGATTTTAGAAGAAGGGAGGATTTGCCAAAATATCACGTGTAGGGGTATAGTAAGATGTCACGTGTATTTATTTGTCACCAGATTTTTAATAAAAAAATCTGAACATTTTCGAAAAAAATCAAAAATGTTACAATTTTTCTTGTAACTTAAAACACAGGTGATGTTTGGTAAAGGAAAGGTTAGGGTAATTTTGTATATCATAACGTTACACCAAGGAGGAGAAAAGGTCCAAAAATCCTAAAAAAATGGAATAGATGGATGATCTATTTTCAAACTTACATCTTCTTTTAACACGATTGACTGCGTAGGTGTACAAATTTTAAATTTACTAGCATTGTAAGTTAAAAATCTATTAAGCATCAATTTATAGAAAGTCTTTTGAAAAAATTAAAGCACTATTTTTTAGTTAGATAAGGAAAAACTAGATAAAATTGAAAACAATTCCATGCCAACAGTTTTTTTTTTTTTTTTTTTTTTTTTTTTTTTTTTTTTTTTTTTTTTTTTTTTTTTTTTTTTTTTTTTTTATTTTGGCCTCGCTTACTCTGAGCATTTAGCCACCTACAACATTTTTTTTTAGTTACAATTCTAATTTTTATATCATTTTCAATCTATTTTATGTATCCTATTCTATATTCTTCTTAATTTTTCTTCTTCTTCTTATTTTCTTCAATTCTTGTTCTTTTTCAAATTTCTAATTCAGCTTCATACCATTCTTTTCTTCATTCTTTTCTTCATTATTTTTTCAAGTTCCAATATTCCTCTATTGATTTCAAATTAACTACACATATTATTTTTTCATAAATTCTATGTCATTGACAGGATTTGATCCGAAGACCCCTGTCGTGTGAATCGAACACGCTACCAAAGAGCTATGCTCGCCACTGCCAACAGTTGAACACTGTCCGTTAGAAATATTTTGAATGAAACGACTTTGAATTTGATTTTTCATTATTTAGCGATAAATAGAAAATTCGGGACATTTTTTAGGTTTTTGTCAAATATCTCACAAATTTTATATAAAGCACTCTTCTTCAGTTAGATAAGGAGAAACTAGATAAAATTTACTACCATGCCAACATTTGCACACTGTCCGGTAGAAATATTTTGAATAAAACGGCTTTGAATTTGATTTTTCATTATTTAGTAATTTCTATATCAAACAATAATTTAGCTTACCTGTTCCTTTATTTCGTTTGCTTAAATTTAATTTTTTGCTTATGTATTTTTCGCAAACTGTTCCTTCAACGAAGCAGTAGGCTGATTGTCGTATGTATGGAGCTGAACCACATATTGAATGCCTTTTACATTTCCTGAAAAATATTTAAAATGTATAAATGATTGAAGCATAAACACTACATTGATTATCAAAAATAATTGGAAATTATAAAGACAAAATACATCAGGAAAACTTCATTTTTCCATATGTGTCAACATATGGACGCACCCCTTCTGCAAAAAGAGTGCCTCCTGCACGACGTCATCGAAGGTAAAATAGAAGAAATGAAAGGAATGGGAAGAAGAAGAATGCAGACGATTGACGACTTACGCGAGAAGAGAAAATACAGGGAACTTATCCTATCGTATACTATCAAACTTTCTTCACAACTTCTATCCTACATAATTTCAATCCAACAAATCAAATAACAATTCTATGTCAGTGCCAGGACTCGAACCGAGTATCCATGGCTTGTGAAAAGAGAAAATACAGGAAACTTATACTATCTTATACGATCAAGCTTTCTTCACAACTGCTATCCTACATAATTTGAATCCAACAAATCAAATAACAATTCTATGTCAGTGCCAGGACTCGAACCGAGTATCCCTGGCTTGTGAGTAAGGTAAGCTACTGGCAATTTCATGTGATTATCAGCGAATTAGAACATATTGGAAAATATATATCTAGTAAATCTTTAACTCTTATCGTATCTTTTTATTTTATTACTTCATCGTACTCTTGCAATAGTATTTTTAGAATAATTTAAACTATTATAATTGAACATTCAAAACAATTTTTAAATATTTGTACTTCAAAACGTTATCTTAATCAGTTCAGTAGTGAAACGTATAAAGCTGATAAAAATAAAGTGAATTTCAAATATGCTATCTATTTCACATTTAAATTGTTGGGTTTCTTTAGTGAAATGTGCTTCCATCTTTATATGTAGAAATTGTGTCTTAATTATAATATTAAATCATATATTTGCCACCTATGAAAAAAACAATCAAGAATCCAATATAAAAATTAGGTATAAGGAGGTTCAAGAAAAATCTCCCCAGAGTCCTCGTTTAAGAAAGTAGAAGTATCTCACTGGAGATCTACTACGCAAAAGAGTGATAAATTAAATTATAATTGATTATGGATTTAAACTTTGTTGTTATATTTATTTTGAACAAGCAATGATTTTATTTGGTCGGTACATGACGTAGAATGCTTTACAATGAAAGATTCAAGATCAAAGTTAGATTTTTGAAGATAAAAGAAAGAAATTTGTTTTAATGACTATAAATATTATAATAATAATATTTTACCTCATTCGTTTCGTCCTACAATGTCTCGAACAAGGAGTCCACTTTGTCCACCTACCATACCCTCGATATCCTTCCTTTTTTGTATCTCTCTTAATCAACTGTCTGCCATCAGAATTTTTTAAATTTAATTCATTTTTATACGAATGTTGATCCTTATTCGATGCCATTTCAGCATCTTCACCAAACAATGAACATTCTTCATCATTTAAAGTTTTGTTTCCATTTTTACAGGATTTTCTTTTTAAGTAGACAAAGTTCACGTCGTCCTCCCAAATATCATCTTCTGAGTTGGATGGATAAGAGTCATGGTTGTCTTCTATGAATATTATTTCAGTTTTGCTATTTAATACTGTTTCTTCATTATCTATTATAGTGTCCGTATACTGGAAATAAATAAAAATTGAGTTAATATAAAGATTAGTTTCAAAAGAACACTGCCATATATTAAAATAATAAAATTTGGACTAGTTTCGTTAAAAAAGATTAGTAAATTTAGTACATATTCTACAGAGGTGTGTATATAACTATATATTTATTTATTTATTTATTATTGTACTATTGACCTATTTTTCCTAAAATATAGACTAATTTATCATTAGACCTTTCTTTATTGTAAAAATATTTTCCATAAATTAAAAACAATTAGCATAGTTGAGGCAGAGATGAAACTAGTGCATTTCAGAAGACAGTCTTTCACTTCATAGTTGCAACCATAATTTTTTTTCATATTTGAAGAAAATAGATTCAATGATCGAATCAAAACGAAAATAAATTAATTTGGCAAAATTATATATGACTGATATATGATAATTATTATATACTGTAATTATTAATCTATTATCGATATTAATATGAAGATTTTAGTTGACTACAGGGTTAAGGAAAGCAAACAGCATTTTTATTGCATGATAAATGTAGTTGATTTTTTATTTTAAACACAAAATATGGTATTTATTATTCAAAATCTGAGAAAATCTCGAAAATATTTTATATCAACATTGTGTTAAAAAATTATTTAAATATTGTTCAACGTGATCTCAAAATATGCATTCTTTAATTCTAATATGCATTTTTTATAGTATATCATATTTAAATATATTTTTATTATTTATTTAACTATTATAATAATGATTAATAGTATTTATATATTAATAATAATTTAATTACTCACATTATAAAACGATATAACTCGAAACAAAGGTATTAAGTCATCTATTAAATTATTTAATATAAGCCGAGATATTCATATACACACGTGTATATCATACTATCATTATTCAAACATAATATCATATTATTATATTTGTTTAAATTTTAGTCAATAATATAAAATAATTTTCACATTAGATATTAGAACATATATAACTTGAAGCTTCATATTAGAAGGTTATACAAATTAAACGTTAATCTAGACATTATAAAATGCAATTTAATTTATTTATGCAAATGTGACTGTAAATTCTAACTAAATTACTCAAGGCAAGTGATCAGGACGTATAAAAAATAAAAATTAAAAGAAATTGTTATTGATATATTTATCTGTTTTTTTTTTCAAAAAATTCCAACATAACTCAACTTTTAATTAAATTTGTTGATCTCAAGTTTTTATTCAATTTTAGTTTAATTTTTTAAATTAAATTTACAATTTCAAAAGTAAGATTGTTATAAAAAAAAGATTGTTGTAAAAAAAATTGTTGTAAAAGTAAGATTTGTGAGTTCCACTGAAGAAGAGTTAGGTTGGGACTCTAAACGTATGAAATGATTATTAATACTAATAATATTTATTTTATAGTATTAGTTCAATTTTAAAAATAAATATACAGGTTTATTTTACATTTTCTTCTTATTATTTGAAAATATATTTGAGTGTTTTATCCACTGATGAAGAGTCAAACTGGCACTCTTAATGCAAATAAGATTTTTGAATTTTTTTAAAACATATTGAGAAGAAAATTGCATGGATGCTCGTATAAAAATATTTTTGGTTTACGCCATATAAAATATTATATATATATATATATATATATACTAGCTGACGCGGCAAACGTTGTTTTACCATACAAAGTATTTGCAAACAATTTCTAGAGTATTGTAAGTGCCAAGGGATGTGTTGTATAAATGGTATAGACAATATGGTATTATAAAAATATTTTACATTTGACGTATGAAGCGTCGTGCATTGTTTCCCTTTAAATTAATTAAATTTTGAACTTAAATTGTAAAGTTTCTACGCGTTTTTGAAAAATATTCTCACGTTTTGCACAATCTCTGGATTGGCACAAATATTTCAAGATTAAAACTGGGAAGATCGGTTCAGCAGTTTTCGAGTTTTAGCGGATCTAATATAATTTCGAGCTCCATTTTTATATATATATATATATATATATATATATATAGGATATATATATATATATATACATAAATATTAATATTAGTATACTTGTGTATTTATGGCATATTGTGTCAGTTATGATTGTCCCCGTTACATAAAATATATATAACTATAAATTAACGCCTCTTAAACTAAATCCTTATTAGGATTTACACGTACGCACTGTTTGTAAGTTATCACATGATACACCTTTACATATATATATATATATATATATATACATATATGGATATTTGAATTCTTCGAAAGCGTAAGTTAATATGAATAAGCTTTAATACATTTTGATCAGTCTAGACAGACAATATAAAACACATAAATAATAAATCAATTAATATACGATGTGTATAAAAAATAACCGTATCATTATTTGCATGCAAATAAATAATGTGCACATTGTATTATGTTACACATGATGATATATCGATATATGGGCATATCCTAATATATATACATATTTTAAGTCACATATAGCTAACGGTAATGAACAAAATTAAATAATATGTGTATATATATATTATATATATGTGCATATATTATGTATATGAATATATGATTGTGTATAAATGTATAAATATAAACCTAAATCAAAATTTAATTTTTGATCAAACAACAAATCCCAAAAATAATATATAATTAAGCATAAAATAAACAGGTAATATATAAATTAATAAACAAAAAAGATTAAAACAAAGTGAGTGTTCACCCTGACTTCATCATTCGGCATAAAAGAACTAATAGAGACAAAGAACTATTAAAATATAAAAAACTACAAAATCGAATAATTAATTTCTGTTAATTTAACATATATAGAAACTAACTAAAAATTAGCATATATAATACAAATAACAAAAGCTATTTATTTTTAAGTAATAATATTTGTGATTTTTTTTTCTCTATTGCGTTTTTAAAATAAGCCACAAATTAAAATTTTTCAATAATTAAACAAATTGATTTGAAATTTTTAGTATTTGAAAACTTTTTACTTTTTAGTAAATTTTGAATCGGTTAAAGCATTTTTGATATATTAGTCACTGTCAGTTAAAAACAAATAGATAGCGATTTTAAAAACTGTACTTTTTCACAATATTAATAAAAATGGTATTATAAAATTTCTTCTTATGAAGTTTCTTAATTCGTATTTTTGATTAATAAATCTTAGCAAGTACGTAGAATACATACATTTGATAAATATTAAAATTAAATTAAAAGTGTAGTCGCAAAATTAAATATAATGTGAAGTTTTTTTTATAGTGATATGTATTTCTAGAGCGGCCTCACAAATAAATAATTTTTCAAATATTCCTTAAATTAAAATCATTTACACGACATTCATAACCGATTACTTTAATTTTTTTTACTGTCCTTATCAAATACAGATTTTGTTCCTGATGATGGAGCATAATTAGTTTCAAAATGTTGCAAATAAACACCACCATCTGAGAATTATTTATTTATTATTTAGGATTAATTGTTCGGTAATATTGTTTAAGACTAATAACAATATATATCTAACAATTAGTCCTACATAATACACAAATAGTTCTTTGATGGTGGTATGTATTTGCAACATTTGGGAACAAATTATGAAACTAGTTATTGGAAATGTTTCGGTATATATTATTATTATTATTATACCCACATATATATACATATATACATATCATCAAACTCGATCATCAATATATTATCTAATTGTGTTAATTATATTCTATTCCGAGAATAATAAATTTCTAGATACTTTTTTTCACACATTTATAGATAAATGTATGTATATGCAACAGAATATATAATGAAATTAATCAGATAAATCCCAAATATCAAAGATCAAATAACAATACTGATTTATTAAATAATGAAAATTAAAAAAATAATTTGTATTTTTAAGTAACTTGGTTTTTATATATATTAGACTAATTATTATTTCATTTTAAAAGAAGAATCGCATAAAAGAAACAATTTGTTAAACGAAGAGATTAAAGCTTAAAGAAAGCTTCAAAAACTATAATTGATGTTAAAACTATTTTATCTTATAACAAAATGCTGACTTTGTGTTAAAACTATTTTATCTTATAACAAGATCCTGAATAATATAGTTTTTAAACCAATTTAGATAACTCGTATGTGATTTTGGGGTAGCACAAGCAAAATCAACATAAATCTTTTGCAAATTTTTTAAAATAAAATGTTATAAAAAATATTAGGAGCGCCAACATATATTCCAAATGAGCTAATTTACCAAGGAACTTATATCAAAGAAGTTGCAATCAAATACAAAAGAAGACTAAAAGTCATCAAAATTAATATATGAAATGGGCATTAAACATGTTTTATTGAGCGTATGACATTTTCTTTGGAGAAATTGACTAACAAAAACTTTTATGAATGATATGAAAATTAAATACATAAATACACACACACACACACACATATATATATAAATATATATAATATATAGAAAAACTCTATCAAAATATTCCACCATCTGAAAAAACCTCTCGCTTTGTATATATATATATTATATATATATACAAAGCGAGAGGTTTTTTCAGATGGTGGAATATTTTGATAGAGTTTTTCTTGAGCATCCATCCAATAATTAAAATAATTTTAGTGAAAAAAAAATATCTTTATTGTAAAACATTTCGGATCCTGATTCGACCCATCTTCAATGCTATTTTTTTTAAATATTTCTAACTTGTAACTTTGTAATCTTTTAATGTAGCAGTGAAGATGGTCAAATCTGAATCCGAAACGTTTTACACTAAAGACATTTTTCTTCACTAAAATTGTTTTAATTATTGAATAGATGCTCAGGAACAACTCTATCATATATATATATATATATATATATATATATATATATATATCCAGAGCTGTGCATGTGTGTCTGTTGACATTGCTCATAATTTTAGGAGTAATTTGGTATTCGAATTCAATTAAGGTATTTAATTTCCTGCAATTATATGCAAAGTATGTAATAATTACAATCTC